AAAAAGTTGTAACTCAAGATGACAATTATCTCATTAATGAAGAAAGCTACGGTTTTTCCCGCGAACAGATGGCTGCAAGCAAGTAAAATTACACTATAGAATCAAATAGCTAACTATAACTCTTTGGTATGTACTTTATCTGCGTTCAGTAAAATTACACTATTATCCTTTTAGACCTCAATGTTTGAACGTCCAGTTCCTTTCTCCCACTTGCGAGTCATTGCTTGAAGGCATTAATTTGCACGATGATATATGTAGATCGAATGTTTGTACCATGATACCGACATATATGATCCGACCTTAGTCGGTGGACAATGCTAGTGAAGTCTACCAATGAGAGTAAGAGTTGCAATTAATACTGATTGAAAATCAAGAAAAGAATGAAATAACTCGAGGACACGGAAATGTGAGTAAATCTTGTCCTCTTCTGCATATTTCATAGGCTCTAGGGGTGTGCCAAACCATCACCAATATCATAGATCTAAGAAAAATTATGCATTATTATTATTATTATTTTCCTCCCTTTTTTGAACTTCAGAAATGACGCATGTCCACTAATCCCTTGCATAACCTCCTATTGTGACAATTTACCTTCCACTAACAGCGGTAAAGTCATGATTAAATGCTCTCTGCAATGATCTATCTATCTATCTATCTATCTACCCTTTAAAAGAGGAAGTTCCAAAAAAACTTTACCCTTCCCAAAATAGCCTTCCACCAAATTTAATTACCGGGGAGTGTTCGGCTACTGATGTGTTTTTTCGATTTCCGTTTTTTTTTCTCATTTATTTTCACCCAAACCAACGCCATCCCCTTTTCTCCCCCCTCAACCCCTCGTCGTCGCCTCTCCGATTCGCCGACTCGTCTCATGAACTGATCTCTCCATCGCCATGGAAGAGATCTCCAATCTCTTAGACCTCTTCAAGGATCGCAGTCCCCCTCGCGATTTCGCTCACCGCTTCCGCTCCGCTCCGATCAAGTCCGGTCTCTTTCGATTCCTTGCGATCCTCGATTCCGAAGCCCGGCTAGGGTTGGAATCGTGTAGCGCGTCTCAGATCGATGCAGTCATCTTCGCCGCCAAATTGCTCGTCGGCTCTTCTCTCTCGATTTCAGGTTTTGCTTTTGTTTTGATGGAATTGGAAGTTTTTGTTGTGATTTTTAGGGCTAATTTGTCGTTGTTTTTGAGCAGCGGAGAGCGGAGAGTCGTTGGTTTTGGTGATCCTTGAGAAGTCGGTGGAGTTTTGCCTCTCTATTCTAGAGAAGCTGAAGTTCGATGACGCCGATTTCAGCTTGCAGGTTCATTTTCTGTTCATTTTCTGTTTATTTTTACTTTTGTGTTTGGGTTTCATGGGGCCTTATGCAAACAGGTTTTTATGATTGCAGAACTCATTACCATTCGGCGCTGAGGTACTTTGTGACCGAACGTGGATCGGAAAATGAGTATATGTTATATAGAGTTTTGTGTATTGATTGCGTTCCTGAAACAGTTGGTGGAAATATTTTTCTCTTCTATGCATAACCATTTGCATGTGCAGCTGAATTGCGTTTTCTTTCAGTTTAAGTGATTCATATTGTTTTCCTATTCAAATGACTTGGGATATTGTAATAGATAACTAATTTGGAAACTTATGCATGCGGTCATTGTTTTCCTATTCAAATGACTTGGGATATTGTAATAGATAACTAATTTGGAAACTTATGCATGCGGTCATCAGCTATTTCTTTGAGATTTACAATAATATTTGCAAGTTCACGATTCAATCTGTTTATGGAGAACTCAATCTCTCCTATGTTTGCCATGTATAACTATTACATGTTGTTTTTGTGTTGTAGGGATGGAAGCATTTTTACATATCAAAACACCAAAAAATAGCTCGGTGCCATCATCTCCTATTGTTCTAATTCAACAATAGGTCAAGGATTGTCCGAATTAGGGCTTGCTTCAAGTCTTCATCTTGCTTCTTAATCACTTTCATCCGGTAAAAATTCAATTGTTATATTTTGTGAAATTATGGTTTCTGTCCTTTTAGTTAATTTTGATGAATTATTTTTTTTAGCTGAATTGAGGAAATTAGGGGTGGAGGACTTTGTTAGATAGTATTTTCAGGCACAAGAGGGGAAACTTGAGTGAGTTAGGGAGGGCTAGATTTGTTTCTAACTGTATCAGTTTTTGCATTACAAGTATATTGCGTGTGTGGGTGTATTTCTGTTTGCGTATTCATGTTTTTTTGATTGTGCAATAAGGAGATAATGTTGATAGACTGAACAAAAACACACAATTTTCGGACTACATGTAAAGTAATATGGGACATAAGCCTGTATAAGCCTGATAATTGTCCCGGTTCAGCCTCATAATCAGGTATGCAGGCGCATAACCTGCATAAGCCTGATTGTGCACACAATATGGGACAGCATCTATTTTCTTTCCATTAGCATTATTTTGTATTTTGTATTAATTTTTGTGTTTAAATAACGAAAAGTAATCCTGTGAAGTATTTTGCAGTTTATTATCGACAACAAAGTGCTTCCTTGCCTTCTTCAACTACTCACGCATAATTACAAAAAGAGCATTAAAAAAGAAGCTTGCAAAGTGCTTCCTTGCCTTCTTCAACTACTCACGCATAATTACAAAAAGAGCATTAAAAAAGAAGCTTGTTAGACTCTCTCAAATATTACCGCAGGAACTAGAACTCAGATCCAGGTAATACATTCTCTCCCAGTCCTTTCTCTTAATGGTCCCATGCTGAGATCCAGGTAATACATTCTCTCCCAGTCCTTTCTCTTAATGGTCCCATGCTGAGATTCTTGCTGGAAGCCTGGAATCATACAGATTACACAATCTCTTTTCTTGCTGGAAGCCTGGAATCATACAGATTACACAATCTCTTTTCTTTGTCAATTGTCAAACATAACCACGTCAATAGAGATGACAGCCTTGGCCAAAACAATTTATTTGACTTAGCATTGACAGGTTTTGTTGATGATTGAAGCAAGTACATTTGTACCTTAACCTTAAGAATCTTCACCTTTCTACAGCTTGAGAATATCTCATTTTCCCTGTATTGATTCTAAACAAAGTCTATCTATGCAAACATCCTTTCCTGAAATTAAGCAACATACCAAAATTCAGCTTCCAATTATAACCCAAAGTCATTCCAGTTCAACCTCAAAATAAGTGATTATTTAAACATAGATCAACCCGAAATTTCAAATGAAACTTCCATATATTTTAACATAGCATATACCATTAATTGGATTGCATTATTTATAGAATAGAACATTAATGCAGACACTTAATTTCATGAATAAGCATCTATTTGTTCATGATCCAAGATTTAATTAAAGGCAAAAGAAAAGAACTGCCTCTCACTGTGCGATATCTAACTTAGGCAAGCATCCAGAATCGGAACAAAAACCTACCACATTGGGATATTATAAGGAAGAAACTTATATGACTAATAAAAATCAAACAGAACTATTTTAAATAGTTAAGTAGTTAAGTAAGTCATTAAGTTATCCAAGAGGCCAAGGGAGCCGAGTCCATCTCGGAGAAAGAGCTGAGATGCTAACATGAGAGTAAAAGGGTTTAAATTTTGCAGGATAATCAATACATGCACTATTGCTCAAGAGAAAATAAATTCATCAGGATTATACTTTGATGACGTATAGGAATTGAGACTAATGCATCTAATAAAAATACCATCACTAAACTTGCGAAAGAAAGGATGGATACAAACCTATACAAGTAAATTAAGTATACCAACAAAAGGCTCATAAATCAGAAGCTTGATGTATTTAAAAAAATAAAAAAGAAATCTCAGAGAATGAATAACAAGCAAATAGTTTGGCGTTGAGTATTGCCAACTAAAACAGGCCAGAATCCATTCAGTGTCCTCAAATAACAATGACGAATGTATCTTGAAGGCATAGATTGCTAAACCCCCTTGACTAATTAATGATTCTGATAAAGTAAATTATTAAAAAAATAACAAAATGGGTTTTAATAATGCCATATGGCCTCATGAATGAAATGATCAGATTGGTATATTTATCTTTGGGTTTATTTTGCAAACTGGTCTGTTGGTATTTGTCAACCATCTTTTTATTTTTTAAACTGATCGGGCCTTTGGCTCACTATTTTTTTTATGTTGGGAACTAATGTATTGTTTAGTGCAATTGAGTGAGCGAGACACCAATAAGTAGAGAAATAATTTATTCTCCTCATGTTATTATTTTTCATATAATTCACAGAATATTTTTACCAATAAGTAGAGAAATAATTTATTCTCCTCATGTTATTATTTTTCATATAATTCACAGAATATTTTTTTATAGATGAATCATATATAAGCCTTTTCTGTTGGGGCTAAATTGATTAATGATATTGGTTTATATATCCTACCAGTTTTTAGTCCGACTCAAAAGCCCTTATATCTCTTATTGGGAAATAGTGTCCTTATTGGCAGTTGCATCACCGTTGGGCATGAAATGCACTACTTTCTTAGACATGTACAGGTTGGTCATTGCTTGCGCGAAGGCAATTTTGTGGCTAATGCATTCTCCAAGCTTTGTTACTCCTTGAAGGGTATCTACTACGTCTTTCATTCCTCAGAGCTTCTCGGCCACGTCCATTGGCTTATTTTGCTCGACGAAATGGGAATGTCTTATGCTCAATCAGTTTAACTGAACTTTTGGTTCTACTTTATACAATATGTTGGTTTTCCCCCACTTTTATTTCCCCTTTCAAGAGCTATTGCACTACTGAATCATATTTTGCTCTTTATTTTTTGTACAAAGTGAGGTATATCTCACTCCTTTTGTTGCGCTCTTGGATATGTACAATCCAAGGGTCTTTTCCACAGAAAAATGGAATCTTTTGTTACAATAGAACCAGGCTACTCGAATTCAAGGAAATTTGAGGAAAAACACAGAAAAATGGAATCTTTTGTTACAATAGAACCAGGCTACTCGAATTCAAGGAAATTTGAGGAAAAACTAAGTTCCTTCGAACTTCAATTGGATACTGACCCGAGATCAAGTTGTTATAAGTCACTGCCCACTTATAGCATAGGCATTTCTCTAAAGCATAATAGAGCTCAAGAAAGGCAACTGTACAGTGCTCACTATTTTATAATAATATATACAATATGAAATGTATTGCGGGTGATACCATCAAATATATATTGAGGAATTTTGGGTACATTGGTACTTCTTATGGTTTTCGCGCGTATAATAAAATCTTGAACCTAACTTTATTTGGGGATACTTTAACTATGTAATCTGATCAAAGTACTTATCAATTTCTACTTATGATATTTTGCGAAAAATTAAATTATAATTGTTCAAATAACTTAGGTATCTTGAGGAATAATCATTGACAATCTTGTATCAGGTACATGATAGAAAAAATGTTAAATATCCTATTCTGAAGCTTCTTCCATTATATTTCTATATCTGCTTAAATAAATTTGGTTTGAAGTTTTTCTATAAGCTTCTCATAAGAACGAAACCAGGTCCTTTGCTTTCATATCTCTGTTGCAATTTCTTCAACCATGAGGACTTTCCAACAGTTTATAGCTCAACTGACTGACTGACTGATTTTCCTTCTCTTTTTTGAATGAAACTCCAGTACCATTTGGGAAGAGGTCATATAGGTACATCAATGAAAGCAAAGTTATACCACCTGTTGGAGCAAAGATCAAGTTCATGGTACTCTTTTACTTTCAATTTGGGTGCTTGTTATTATGCTTTCATATAACTTATTTCCCCCTTTTGTTTATGTTTTTGTAGCTGACATTTTGTTATTCCTTTATGGAAGGGAAGCAGCTACGTCAACATATTCCTTCAAGGTTTATCTCTATTACCTTTAGAGGTGTTATATGAACATTCTGGCAATTTATGGATTTATGATCCCAAGTTATTCTTATTTTGTGTGAGGTATTTGTCCCTATTCTTTAATCATGACTCTTCGTAAATATGATAGATATGTCATCAAAGTCACCAGTCTTGTGTCTAATTATTCTTTCACCAATTATTGTGTTTTGTACGGAAATCATGCTAATTACAGACTCACTTCGTGCTAACTACAAACTGACTTTTGAGAACCTCATTATAGAAAGGTGAAAATATATTGTTAGATTTTTAGATCATTATACATGTGGGAAGCCTTCTTGTGTAACAGTTGGATATGATTTTTATTACATAATTGATCATCTCAGGAGCCATGTGTTCAACTCATAGTAGTATGTAGGGTAAAAGAATATTTTTCAATTTCACAATAACAGTATTTGAAGTATCAGCCATACCATGGCATGTGAAAGACAGTTCAATAACTAATTGCTTGCTGTTATTCGTATAGTTTCATGTTTCAATACTTCATTTTTAACCTTTTACCTCAAACCCTTCCCCATTCCTTCGTCTTAAAACATTGAGTAATCTATAGATGGTTTCCAGGCTTTGTTATGGACAGGAATCAATTGTGGGTGTAAACAAATACAAATAATTCAAATAGAGAAATATGATCTTTGTCTGATTTCATATTCATCTTTTGACAAATATGGATATCTATTACATGTCCCATTAAATATGGATTAGAATATAGCAGTAATAAATTATGAGATATCAAGTATATTTAATATATTAAAAAGGTACATATTTTGGCTATGTCCAATACTAGATGGTGCAATGTTTATTGTTAGACCTTTATATATTTGTATCATTCTAATATCAGGAAAGACTTAAAATAAGGTCAATATTTCTTTTTTTTTAGGCAGCACAAAGTAAAAGGGGCATATGCAGTGCACATGCACAAGTTCTACATGGAAGAAAGGACTTATGTATCAAAGTAAACCTGATGAACCAATTAAGCATCTAGATGTAAGTCCATACATTCAGTTAGTTGATATCACAGTAAACCGGCGCGGGGCATTCTCAGCCAAGCAGTGCACCTTTTTTAGGGGGTAGTTTGGACTTTTCACTCTCCCTTATTTGGCTGAGGTTATCCCGCGCCATGCAAGGTTCTGATAGAATTCCTGCACCCTTCTGGATACTTCACTTTCATCCATTAGCACAAAATGTGATATTCTGTTACCTCATATTTGCAAGTATCCTGTCTTTCATTTCAATCAAGTATAATGTTGGTATATTTCATGACTCACCCATGTTAATTTAGCTACTGTTATTTTAGCAATTCAATGCAGAAAGGGGCAACTTTTCCTAAATATTATATCTTGAATTGATTTTGATTGGTATTTCTCTATATTTCCAGCATTTGGACATAGAATGTCATTGATTGGTTTATTTTCAAGTGACTAAAACATTTCAAATTACTCCTTACATCTTATCAAAGTTAGTAATCTTTTCTACAAATTAAAAACAAAAATAAATGAAAATGTGATGTGTAATGTAGTATATACAGAAGATGACTTTTTCTTGCTCCCTTTAAGTTGCAACTAATCAGAAACACTTTTAATTCCGAGAAGATGACTTTTTCTTGCTCCCTTTAAGTTGCAACTAATCAGAAACACTTTTAATTCCGAAGGAAAAAACTGTTGATTTCCTTGGTTATAATCAGAAACACTTTTAATTCCGAAGGAAAAAACTGTTGATTTCCTTGGTTATCATGTTTTTTTTGTTTTGTTTTTTTTAATGATCATATGAAACATCTCGCTATAAGTTCATCTTAGATGACTCATTTAACAAAATAAATTGTCATTTCATATCCATTTTTTTCATAGAGAAATCACAAATCTCAGGTCTCATTTTAGTAGAATCATAATACGAGAATCACTAACTGCCATTAACCTTTAAAATGAGCACATAATATTTTTCTTGTTAAATCAATCATCCACTGATGTCGGACTCATTCATTGTCTTGATTATCCAAGATAGAATAATTTTTTTTATCTCTATTTCATCCTTCTATCTTCCCGTTCTTTTTTCTGGCGTCGAACACAATTTTTGTCTTGATCACACGAGGCATTTCAAAGAAGTATATGTTTATTACTTAGTAAACTACTCTGATTTACAATAACAAGAAATGGAAATATGTTGAACTCATTGAAGGTACTATAGTAGTTGTCATTTTGAATGAATCATAATCATTCTAGAAATAAAGCGATTGGGTATTATTTGGAGAGTGGTATTTCATGCTGCCAAATAAAAGGTAGAACGCATCCAAAATCTACTTACTCTATCATCACTCCCTTGAGCATTCAATTTGATTAGCACGGTAAGAATGATGCTGCTGATTCTTCATCTGTTGGTAAGAATTAGTTTTAATGTTTGCGCTTTGGCTTCTTCACTTGTTGATTGATATGGTTGTCGTAACTATTGGGAAAGAAAACGACCAAGGGCTTGTTTGGACCGGGGATAATGAGGGGTAAAAGAAGTTAGGGAAATCTTTGGGGGTGAAGGAAAGGTAAAGAATGAGAGAAAAATCAACTTTTCGTTACCCTCCGATTTAGGGTGTAACTATGGTGAAGGGAAGGTAAGAGAACTTCTAATAAAAAATAATTATGGAGAGACTATTTTAACCCTCTATCTAACTTTTAATAATAAAATAATTTAATAACATGCAATGTTATTAATGTAAGTTTACATATATTTCTATCTAACTTTTAATAATAAAATAATTTAATAACATGCAATGTTATTAATGTAAGTTTACATATATTTTATTCCATTTCATTCCCTTTATTAAACTTCCCAAACGAGGTGAAACAAAGTCCTTTTGATTCTCCTTACTAATTTGAAAGAAAAATAACAAAACAATGAAATTAAAGGGAGCAAATAAGATCCCTTTCCAATAAAAGAGCTTAAAAACATAAGAAATCAATAAACAATATAACAATAATGCAACATCAGTACTATTAACTATGAAGTTTGGATTCTCTCCAATTTTTATCCTCATAACATGACTTCATTTCTTGTTCTCTTCCAGAACAAACAAACGAGAATCTTGAAGGAGGTATCATATGTCTCATGTATATATTTACTTGTCAACACCAGAAACATACTTATCAGAGAAAGGAAGAAAAAAGAACTCAGCAATAGACGGAGAAATGCTATTTTGGTGCCTGATCATTGGTCCGGCGCCATTGTTGCTGAAGGCAGTACTGTGGCGATTAAACGATGCGATTTACTCAGCATCGCTGCGTCTCAGATCAAGAATGACTGCCAAACAATAAAACTCGAAGCTGAAGCTTCCTCCAGGCCATATGGGATTACCGCTTATTGGTGAGACACTCGCCTTTCTTTGGTATTTCAAAATCCATTGTCGTCCTGATGACTTCATAAACTCCAAGAAACAGAAGTAAAATCTCAATCTCAGTAGTCCTTCTTTAACCTACATTGTTTAGTTAGTTTTTAAGAATACAGTACAAACAGAATTTATTATGTCCAACATGAAGATATTCCCATCTTCGTTAAGTCGCAATGGAACAATGCAAATGGAAAAACCCACCTGCAATGCATCTGCAATGCATCTTTAGTTACAGAACTTTAACAACGTTGCATCATAGACGAATTTGAAAACCAATACCTCTCAATATGCATTGCAGCTAGATTTTTGACCAAATGACACACTGGACCGTAAAATTTTCCAACAATATGTTTAATGTCTAACAGTTACACGATGACTTCATCATCAGATGGACAACAGTTGAGCTTCTAGGATATACTTCACTTACTAAATGGAATTTCCATTTACTAAATGGAATTTTAGATGGAATGTTGCAAAGAAGCCACCGTTTGACTTTCATTAACAAAAAACCATGATCAAAGTTATACTCCTTGTAGAACATCAAGCTTATGAGTTTTCTATCTTCATTTTCCCAGTACAAACTCCTTACATGATCTTCACCAGCCTTGAGGATTACAAAGCAAGAGGAACTCAAGCAAGCCCTTACTTCACTGTCACCTACTACACTGAGTTTGCAGAGACCAAGGGCTTGGTGCTCGTTCGCAGAGACATTGTGCTCACCAGCAAGCTCACTGATGATGAAGCACGCTGCCTTGTTCAAACTGCTCACTCTTTTTATCTGAACGACACATGATACAAGCTCGTGGAAAGGTTTAACAAAGAGGCTCATGAGTTTGAGTTCAAAGATGTCCTCCAAGCACTCAAAATGCGCATCTTGTAAGTCCTACAGTCTTCTGTTGCAAAGTGAGGAATCAGTTTGACATAGTATGTAGTTGATTCCGTAAGCTGTTTAGTTTACTGCAGAAAGAAAGTATAGTAAAATTTGCAGTGACAAATGGTGCATGTAGTATTTTTGCATAAAATTTGGTTGATATCCATTGTTTGGATATCTGCAACTTTATGGTAGAATATGTATTTCTATTGAAAATTCTGATTTGGTTGATAAAGAATTGATGCAAAATTTCTAAGATTTGGGAGTGGAAATGTTTTTTTTAATGACTTGCATTGGTTTGGATATCTGCAACTTTATGGTAGAATATGTATTTTTGCATAAGAATATGCTTGATTGCTGCGATTTATTTACTAGATGGTATCTGATCACTTCTCCTTTCCAGGCTCTTTTTCCTTTCAATGATTGGTGGGTAATTCCTGCTAAGGTGTTATTCGATCAAACAGTTTGGGCAGCAATATGGAACAACATTTATTATGTGTTCTAGGGTTTCTTGCGTTTTGAATCTCCAGTCAGCATTTTCAGTGAACTGAAAGCTACCTTTTGGCCTATGCTAACAGTGAGCACTGCTTTTCCTTGGTTGATGTTTTAACAAGGGCTTCTTTGTCATTCTTTTCAAGTTCAATTGTTGATAGACCCCTTGTACTATAGCCAAATTTCAGATAGAGCCCCTGAACTTCTGTTGTATAGACCTCCCTGGATTCTCAACTCTGTTAGTTTCGCAATAAAAGTAGGCTTCTGGAACATATGACTCCTTAAACTCATTTACTTACTATGAAATTTTCTTAATGATCATTACATGTTACCGACTTAAATGGGAAAACTAAAGGAGTTGAGAATTATGTAGGCAACAATTGAAGTACTATAGGGTCTATCCACAATTTGGCGTTAGTATATGGGGGGTCTATCCTCAGTAGCCTTTCCGTTCAGATAATTTTTCTTGCTTAACACACCAGGGTGAGAGGTGCATGCCTCAACCAAGAATTCAGCTTTTTTTCATGTTTTGAGGTAGTCAATTGTAGAAAATATTTCTTCATTTGAAGATTGCTATCAAATGTAGGTTTTTCAGAGAGAGGGGCTCAATGGTCGATGTCATATTGCTGCATTTACCATTAGCGGAATCCGAAAGCATTTCTTGAAACCTTTTCCATTTCTTCACTACAGGTGCAAATTTAGTTTAACCCTTCATTTGTATGTGTATAGATACTCCATTTAGTTTTTTTTTTGTTACCTCTCCTTTTGTTGATGTTTGTTTGCAGTTAGGGGTTTTTCTACGATGAGAGCTGCCCAATCTAAAGCCTGCATCGATTCGGCGCATTTCTTGAAACTTTTCATTTCTTCACTACAGGTACAAATTTAGTTTAACCCTTCATTTGTATGTGTATAGATACTCCATTTGGTTTTTTTGGTTACCTCTCCTTTTGTTTATGTTTGTTTGCTGGCAGGGGGTTTTTCTACGGGGAGATGTGCCTTTTTTGGTTACCTCTCCTTTTGTTTATGTTTGTTTGCTGGCAGGGGGTTTTTCTACGGGGAGATGTGCCAAATCTAAAGCCTGCATCGATTCGGCTATGCCCTCACATTGCTAGGGATTGGTTTTATGATGAAGATAAGGAACATGGCATTAAAGTGGTTGTTCCGGGATTGTCTGACTGTGGCCAGCTCCGGTCTAAGGGGGCAGGGAGCTGCCTATAAAGTTGTAGGAGAGCTGAGGAGAAGGATGAGGCAAGGTTTTTCTAATAAACTCACTATTTTTTTGGAGAACAACTTTCCTTTTGGTTTTCTTGCTGAAAGATACGATTAGGAAAGTCTCTAAATCAGTTCATGTTTTATCACTTTGTACTTTAGGCATATGTTGTGAATAATATGGGATACCCAAATAATATGAGAGATTGGTTCTTTAATTTATTGCTGGACTTTGCATACTAACCTATTAATATGTAATTTTCAAGTGCTGATTTTCTACTTCAACTCTGTTTTTGCATTGTCTGCTTTAGAGAGCTCAGCAGTCTGTTTATGAATTCCTCAAGCAAAACTATAGTGAATGTTTTGAAAGGTTCTTGCTAAAACTCAAGAATCAAATAGAGCGGTAAATATTAGATTTTGAATTGAGTTTTGTTTGTTGTTTGTTGTTTGTTTGTTTGATTGATTGGGTAATTTTTTTGGTGTTTTTGGGGTTGGGATTAATAATCTAACAATTGAGGTTCGATTCGAGCATTTGAGCATTGATGCAGAGGCAATTGTGGGTATCGAGGAAAAACCTGAACAACATCGAAGACAACACCAAAGGTAAGAACATATTGAGACAAAATGCAGTTTTCTTCCTTCTTTCTACTGTATCATTTAATTTGGTATGTATAAAAAAAGATATAATCTTTTTTTTACATTTGTTTATTGAACTCTTTTCTTCATGACCCAATAATGTATAGTGAACATTTATTTTGGTGATGTTCTGTTATATCTGAGAAGAACCATGGAGATATTTCTACTTCACATAGAAATACCTTGGCGTCCATTCTGATTTGAAACTAATCTTTCTTCTTTATCTTCGAAGTATGAAATCAATTGCCTATAAATGTTGAATAAATTTGTGTAGTATTATGGTGTCCAAATTCCACTAATTTCTTGGAATATACATATTTGTGTAGTCAAAGGACAAAACTAATTCCACTAATTTGTGTAGTGTAAGGTTTTTGGTGATGCTCTATTACAAATTTATTCTTGTTTGTATATCATCATCTTTCATCAGGAAAGATAATTCAAATGAAATCCAACAAAGGTTGCAAAGATGTTCTAAATGTGAATATCTTCAAACTAACTAGATTTGGTTTTCGATGGGTAGCATGATTGAAAAAAGTAAATACAGTGTTAATTTTCACACGACAGGATTATTAGCTTTAAATTTTGGCTTAGTTATAGATCTACCTTGCACTTAGCAAATATACAACAAAAATTTTTACTATGTTGCCATTGTTTTGAAGAAAATTTCATGTAACTATATGTACTGACTCATTATTTTTTGTAGGTTGAAATGAATGGAAATGAGACTACTACTCTTTATAAGTTCTTGAAATCAAAGAAAGGAGACTACTACTCATTGTTCTATCTGGATGTTTTGCGTTTTTCTTTGATGTTGTTTCAGATTCTATTTTTTCTTATGAGGTGCCATCTGATTTGAGCTAGCTATTTTTTTCCATTTCAGCTATTTAAAGCATGGTGCTTATGCGTGTTCATGCTCTTTTTTGTATCAAGGGAAATAAATTAATACCTCAACTTTTTATTCATGTCTATTGAATTGTTATTCTAGATGATCCATCAAGCTTCACGCACATTCAAAGTTGATAACTGTCACTTTTTGCAATCGCTTATTTTGTTTCCAGCTTACTTACTCAGACATCCCTACAAGATTAAGAGCATATGCTTGATATCTCAGTTTCTGCCCTTGCATGTTCATGTTAAAAGACATTTTCTCGGTCAGTGGTCAACTGTTTGCAGTTTTTAAGTTTTGTTTTTGCATGTAACATGTGCCTTATCTTCCCAGTGAACTTGTGACTTGGCATATTCTTTCATTCTTCTCTTTTCTTTCCTTTACCCAGTGAACTAATGTGATGTTTAGTATTAGTTATTTGCAGCTAAGATCAACTAACTTTTTCTTGATTGTGCCGTCACTTTTATCACGTGCACCATATATATGGTTGATTAGGTTCATTCTCTATGGACAATATTCTAATTAGTCCTGTGAGATAATGTTTAATTGGCATTCATCTTGTGTATTGTGTATAAGTTCAATGCATAATTATGAAAACATTATTAATTTTGACTCTTGTAGTTTCTTAATATGTATCACGTGCAATGTATGTATCCATATGTTTGATACATGGTTTAAACTAAATAAATCTTAATGAAATGAATCAATAACAAAATAATAAATTAAAAAATTTACCACGTGCATTGCACGTGCAATCCAACTAGTTATAAGAAAGCTGGCACTAATGGTTCCCTTTCATGGTAATCTTCAATCCTACAACCATTTATTTGCTTTGTCATTAATTCAATATCTTCTTTTACTTTATGATAATTATGTACTTACATGCAAAAAAAAATTCCCATCATGATAACACCCTTTTTCCTTTTTGCAATGATGTTTGTTTAATCATATCTTTTGATTCAACTTCAACATGGTATGAACATATCCAAGTCTAGTAAATGTTTTTAATTTATGCCTTAAGACTTTTGATTCCAGATGGATGAAGAAAGCTATGCAAATAAATAAACAAAGGGCGTGAAACGCTACGCAATATCGAAAGCAATGCTAATAAACAGAGGGTGTTCGAAAGCTATGCGATTCAAATAACCAGAGGGTGTTGCAACACTGTGCGTAAAATTGAGAACTTGGGTGCACACTTTAAGTAACTTACTCAACTTAGGTAGTGAAGTGTAATGTGCTTGTGGCTTTGTTTAACCTATAGATTTCATGAGACTTTGTTGGAGTGTTTTACCCAAGTCTTTATGGTGGAATAAGACTTTATGTGGAGTGTTTTGCCCACGTCTTTATGGTGGAATGTTATTGAGTCTTATAGGCTCATGTTTTGCCTAAGTCCTAATGGGGGAATGTTATTGGTCTTGTTGAACTTGGATGAACGCTTGTAACTTGTTGAATCTAATGGCGGATCACGTGCTTCACATGAGTTATGAATTTGATTTATATAGTTATAGTTATGAATTTGATTTATATAGTTATGGGCGTGTTTAATTGAGCTATTTGGACTACTCTGCATACAGTTCTCAGCTCATAAAACAAATACATGCAACTGCAACAAAGATCGCTGTATTTCAACTCAAAAGTAGTATCAAAACTCGCTAAAAAACAAACACATGCAACTGCAACAAATGTCGCTTGACTTCAACTCGTATGGTTACACAAAAATTATGGATTTGCGGTGAAAGAACCTCCAGATATTTGAGAATAAATAATATCATCAACTCCCCTCCAAATATATTTAAGTTACAGATACAACACATTTCCTGATTCCTGCTCATGTAAAAAAATAAGCATCCATCTGGATGCATTTGGGAGCATGTAAATGGGCACCCCAAAAAAGAAAAGAAAAGAAAAAAGGAGGAAGAAGAAGAAGAATGTCACAGCAAGACAAGGACACCATCAATTCGTCAGAGACAAGTTGGGAACAATGATTTCGTTACTCGGTATTGGCTTAGCAAGGAATTCAACTTTGCGCGCGCTACTCTTGCAAAAAGCCCTTCTCCTCTAAGTAAGTGACAACTTGCTCGGCCATTGTACATGGAGAGGGACAAACTCCATTCTCTGGTCGTATCTCTATCTGCATTAGCACAAATTTCACTTGTATCAGAATGATATCAAGAGCCTGGAGAAAGTGTAGTTCATTATTCATATGCGCGTGATTTCTTTGACAATCTCAAGCAGATTGGACTTTTATACATTGTAGATAAACAAAAATGCAATAGAGATGCAAACCATCTCTTTTTCCTTTTCTTTTTTAAATAATGCTATATATGTAAGGCTAATTGCAGGCACACCCCCATACTACGGTGATATAGACACTTACTATGGTGATATAGGCACTTAATACCCCCTAAACTATTTCATTAGCACTTACATCCCTAAACCCTGGACACTGTTACTTTTTGCCTTCTTTCTCAGTTAAGGACTGACGGCAATAAATCATCTTCCAGTGATTCCCACGTGAGATTACCAAACGGGAGAAATAATGCCATCCAGATTTCAAGTGGGTGATAGAATAGTTTAGGAGGTTTAAGTGGATATACCGTCATAATATATTTGCAACTTACCCTTACATATATTGAAGAAGACATTAATGAGCGTGGAGGCTACATGCAACAGAAAAACAACCAATGCGTTATAACATCTGACATAAACAAATTTTAGTTTTTCCATAAATCTTTTCATGATTACTAAAGTGTCATGACAGAACACAATACTTTATCAATCGGACAATACCACTTGATGTCATCTACAGAAAGAAAGCATTTGATGGAATATCATTTTATCTTAAATCAGATTTAATTTAATCAGTCAATGCAAACAAAACTGTCAGTTACTCTTTCTTCTATTTACCAATCACCGAGAAAATAAGACCAATCCTCTATAGAATATGTAAAGTGGATATGGACATAGAAAACATATCAAATTTCAAATATCACATTGTAGCAAAGAGATTTCATCTAATTATTATAAGTGTGTATAAGAAGATAGTAAAACAGGATGATTGAGGTGAAAGATCAATTAAAAAATAGTCAGTATTAAGCAGCTGTGCTGCATCATTTATAATAATAAACTTTTGAGAGGAAACCAAACAAGAGAAGCCACACACACACACACACACAAGAAAAAAGAAAAAGGGTCGCTTGGTCAGTAGAAGGGAGAACACAAAGTCATATTTGGGTTGCTAAATTTTCAGACACTGAACCTTTTTTCTCAGTGATTGTTTGGAGAAATCATTTGATAAAGAGGAGTTACTCCATTATATCGCATGGTATGACGATAAAACGTATGGGAATATGATACCACTTTTAAAATAACACTTTCATGTGCTCTTTACACATTTTCCCTTATTCTCCTTTACCACTCCAGACAAATATCATTCCATTCTTCTTATTTCATTAGTTTTATCTGATTATTAATTTACTAGTTAACAAACATTCTGCGGTAACCATGATTAACTCTTTTCTCTTTACTATATTATTACTACCAGCACAAAACCTGTACAAAGAACGATTGATAGTCTCTTTAAAATCTTCCAACACCCTTTGGTTGTTTGGGAAGTTTTTTCCATTTTTAAGCACTTATCCTAAAGGTTCTGCACAGCATCAGAGAAGACTCACAACCTGTCCCTGGATTCTTCCTATTGGTTGCTTTTCATGAAACAACATTTTGTATATTTCTCTCAGTAGCAGATGTATATGGTCTCCATTTAGCTAGTATATCATTCCTACATGCCACAAATATCCTTGGGTGGATTCTTAGTTTGTTCTGTATTTATACACGTTCCCGTAGGGGTATGTTCATTAGAGCCTTCCAGATTTTCCCCTAAACCCTCAGCAGTAAATCTCAGAACTGGTCATAAGAATAATGTGTCAGCCTTGTAAATAAGCTAAATGATTGGGGCCCAGTATGGAATAAGAAGAATTTCCTGAGCACACTGGTGATTTTGCGAGATATCTCAAATTTCCTAATCAAGCCTCTTATGGGGTCCAAATTGCAAGATGATCCTGATATTTCCCACACAGGAATCAACCTAGCATCTTACAGAGAGTTCATATAGATCCAACACATTGATAAAATGGATAACATATAATTTTTTTAATATTCTCCGTAATGTTTTTTTTAATTACCAAAATTATAATAACTAGCATGCCTCGGCATTTTTAGAATAAGATGTTAAACATACCTCACAATTTAGAGGGGGCTCATATGGATCATCTATTCCAGTGAAACCTGCCAAGTCAGTTGCAAATGAGAAAAAATGCAGCAAACATTGCTATTTTGGAGCTTGTTTCTTAACTTGGAGTAAAATAGTATTAAGGCTATCTATCAAAAGACAAAGTCATGAATTTATAAGTCCAAAATGAATACTATTTTCAGCATTCTCAATTCAAAGACTACAAAACGGCAATACTTCATATTACAATAAATACACATAGACCATAGTTTTCTTTTCTTTTCTTTTTTACTTTAAAATCAAGATGAGAACAAGGAAAATAGTGGATTATTTGAAAAGTGGGTCCATCTTTATTGTCAAAGAAAAAGCAGACCCTATCCGGTTCACTGCCCCCCAGAAAATGTTGTAATTATTTAGCTATATTCTTTTTCTTGAAGAGAAAATGAATTTTTATAGCATAAAATGTCTTGCCATGCTCTTTTGTTGAGAGAGTATTTTAGGAATTATGATTGCAAAGTAACTCATGGTGCACTTAATCTATGACACATAGGTAATCTATGAAGGATCTGAATGATAGCTTTGGAGGATACAAAATGAATATCTTTTTGAGAGATCAAAGGTGTGCTATACAAGGTAATCGATAACATTTCACTCTTCCAAACATTTTGAAAACTGCCTAAGTGTCCTTTCTTAAAGTCTTTATAGAGTTCTGAGATCTCTCTATACCAGGGTGCTAGCGAAAAACCAGACTGAATGAGGGAGTAAGGTTTCACCATAAGTAACTTAATTTATCTCTAGTTTACAAGCCAGTGATATAAGTCAAGACAGATATATACTAGTTAAGTGCATTGATTTGAGTACATAAAACAAATTCATTCCTGTTCATTTTTGACTGATCTCTAACTAGCTGAAGGTTTCTGAAAAGTAGCTGAAGTAACATCAGAAATAAACATCACAATCATGGATTACAGGTCCAGTATATCCTCTAATTTGTTTCAGATGCTAATATGATAAGTAACCAGACTACAGGGGTACCCTTTAGGAGAGTATGACAAATATTCTACACAGTTTTGTTCATAGGATAAATTGTTCTATAGAGCTACTCTAGTTAATGTAAAATGTCCCAGCAAACCTCACCTTTTATTTTTCCAGCTCGAGCAAGCTTGTAAAGGCCTTTTGGATCCCTTTCTTCACACAATTCCAAAGGCATATTCATGAAAACCTATAAAAAAAAGAAGTTAGTAACAATTTCAGTCACTATTTTCAGATAGTAGTGAGTACGACGAACAATAAACAAATAGCAAATGTAAAAGCACCAACTTCAATGAAGCTTGCATCTGATGAAATTGAGCGACAAAAATCACGGTCTTTCCTATATGGAGAAATTAAACTTGCCATGCAGATTAACCCCGCATCTGCAAAGAGTTTTGCTACTTCACCTACAATTACAAACAAAACATATACAAATGTATAAGAAATAAGTCCAGATTATGAATATGATTAAACCCAAAAAAATTAAAAAATTAAAAAATACTACCATTATGTCAGTAGAAGTTGAACATGTTAACATTTATGAATTATACTTACCCACCCTGCGTATATTTTCTGTCCGGTCCTCGGCTTTAAAGCCAAGATCCTTGTTTAGACCATGCCTAAGGTTGTCACCGTCGAGGATATAAGACAGCTTTCCTCTATTGTGCAACTCTCGTCCTAATGTACATGCGAGAGTGCTTTTACCTGGAGAGATTAGTTTTTTTTCAGAACAAATATTAATCTGAACGTACAACCAATGCTGATAACTTTGTTATTCTTAGAAAGCATAAGAGACTAAGCAAAGCATGACAATCTACCATTAATAGGTGTTTAAAGTTTAACAATGCTCACTTGGCATATATCTCACAATGCTCGGATATCCAGCAAGTACAAGAAACTTTATTCAATTTAACACCATACCTATTGCATTCTTACGACATTTGAATGTAGTTCATGAAAAAAAAGTGATAAAGGTCAAGGAACCAATAAGCTTGCAAACTTACCTAGTGCGTCTAAAACTAAAAGAGCTCAATAAGAACATTATACCGAGAAAATATTTGATCCTTTTCTCTAATACTCCTATTCCTCATTATTTAATGCTAAGTTTTCATATTGAGCCTTCGTTCAGCTACATTTGTTTCTCACATTCAACGGTTTTTTAACAAGGAGAAAATTCACAATAAACCAAAATGGGGATTTATTAGTATCTAAAGAGCACACTGTAACCTTTGCATATCCATCAATCATGCACTTCAGTGTTACAGTTTCTCTTTTCTATAAATTTGTCTATCACATAAGCTATTAATGTAGCTTTTATCATGTTTCAGTACTCTTCAGATTCGGTTTTATCTTGTCTACAAGCATAAACAAATCTCATCTATCTTCTACGGAAAAAATCTGATATGTTCTTCGAGGTGTTTGCATTGAATTGGAATACGAGGTATGGGTAATCTGCGTATATTGACAAAACCCAACATGTTAGATCTAGACCATTTTCCTTCTTTTTCAACTAAAAAGAGTAAATAAAGGAATGTGGAAAAACAACGTGACACATCATCTTGTAATGCATCTGATAAATGAGAAGGTTCAGCAAAAAGAGACATATCCTGATTTGGTCCTTAGTCGAATGACAACATGCAAATAAAGTTCCAAATAATATCACCTCATGACTGTCTCTATCATAAACTATCATCCCAAATTACATGAATCAAACCATCAAACTTTGAGCAACATTACAACCTAGATAGTAACAGATCTCAATCATCACAGGTTAACCAACAAAAGGCAGAATGCATCATCATCATCATATCCGATATATCCGACATATCTATCGAAGGCCTATGCTACAAAAAATGAATGAACTAGGCGCAATTAAACGAGAAATCAAAAATGAAGAATGATTGAAAGATGAACCTGAGCCGCTCAGCCCGGTGATCCAAACAACACAGCCCTTCTGATTAAGGAGCTTCTGCCTATCCGCCTTCCCAACTGGGCATTCTTGCCAGAATATGTTGGTCGGTTTCCCCAGAGAAGAATACATTTTATCTAAATCTACAGTCCACAATTAATCTGCCAATCAAATCAGAAAATGGCGAAAAATTAGAAGACAATGGGCATCTCCATATTGGTCTTTAAGCAGTCACGTTGATCTACCCAAAAAAAGAACGGAAATTTTGGAAACCAGTAAAAAAGAAAAAACAACGAATTACGAGGGGAAAAAAGAATTATCTCCGCAAGGGTCTTTTTGTAATCGCGTTAATTTACCCTCCAACGCAGCAACAAGGCCGGAATTTTGCGTTAAAAAAGAAGAAGAAGAAGAAGAATCCCCAAATGGGTCTTTTATAGCAACCACATTAATCTATCCAAAGACATACAGAAATTGTGCAGAAATTAGGAAGGGAAAAAAAAAGAGACAGCAATCTACTTTAGAAATCAAACCCAAAAAATAAATCAAGAACAAAGTTTATCTCCACATGGGTCTTTAAGAAATCACAGTAACCAAGCGAAAAATAAACAGGAAATTTGCAGAGATTGGTCAAAAGCCCGCAATTTAGAGCAGATCTCTCAACCTTTTGCGTATCAAAAACCTCTCCCAACCTAAAGCTGAGAAGAGAATAATGGCCGAAAGATTGAGGAGAAGGGAACAAACTACCAAAAACTATGAGGGGGCGTGCTATTAAAAAATACAAAACAGCGGTAGTAGCGGTCAGAGATTCCGCAGGATTCGGAATCGGATTAAAATACTTACGCCTGTTTGGATGGAGGGCAGAGAAGGGAATAATGGCGTAAAGATTGATGAGAAGGGAACAAGCTATCAAAAACTACAGTTAAAAAACTATTTAATGAGGGGCGTGCTATTAAAAAAAATACAAAACAGCGGTAGTAGCGGTCTGAGAGATTCCGCAGCATTCGGAATCGGATTAAAATACTTAGGGAAAAATGCTTCCAGCCCCCAAAAGCCAAGTGAACATGCTTCCCACCTCCAGGACTTGGTCAATGGGTGTTTTACCCCTAAAAATAAAGAATCTGTTCTCTGAGCCCACAAAACCCAAGACATTAAAACATGTGAAGACCATAATACCCTTCTCTCTCTCTTTCTTTTTTTATTAAAATATGATGGAGGATTATTTTATTATTTTTGTTTTTTCTCTCTCTTTATCATGATGTACCAAGAGGATAGTTGAAATGATTGATGATGATTATTTTATTATTTTTATTTTTTATTATTTTGGTTGTTTGTATTGGGAGGTTGTTAAAGTTACGGGTTGATTGTTAAGGTTACGGGTTGGTTGTTAAGGTTAAGGGTTTGTTGTTAAGGTTATGAATCCTCTCTCTCTCTCTTTCTTTTTTTATTAAAATATGATGGGGATTATTTTATTATTTTTGTTTTCTCTCTCTCTTTATCATGATGTACCAAGAGGATAGTTGAAATGATTGATGATGATTATTTTATTATTTTCGTTTTTTATTATTTTGGTTGTTTGTATTGGGAGGTTGTTAAAGTTACGGGTTGATTGTTAAGGTTACGGGTTGGTTGTTAAGGTTAAGGGTTTGTTGTTAAGGTTGTGGATTTGTTGTTAAGGTTGTGGATTTGATTGTTAAGGTTACGGGTTGGTTGTTAAGGTTAAGGGTTTGTTGTTAAGGTTGTGAATCCTCTCTCTCTCTTTCTTTTTTTATTAAAATATGATGGGGATAATTTTATTATTTTTGTTTTCTCTCTCTCTTTATCATGATGTACCAAGAGGATAGTTGAAATGATTGATGAGGATTATTTTATTATTTTCGTTTTTTATTATTTTGGTTGTTTGTATTGGGAGGTTGTTAAAGTTACGGGTTGATTGTTAAGGTTACGGGTTGGTTGTTAAGGTTAAGGGTTTGTTGTTAAGGTTATGAATCCTCTCTCTCTCTCTTTCTTTTTTTATTAAAATATGATGGGGATTATTTTATTATTTTTGTTTTCTCTCTCTCTTTATCATGATGTACCAAGAGGATAGTTGAAATGATTGATGATGATTATTTTATTATTTTCGTTTTTTATTATTTTGGTTGTTTGTATTGGGAGGTTGTTAAAGTTACGGGTTGATTGTTAAGGTTACGGGTTGGTTGTTAAGGTTAAGGGTTTGTTGTTAAGGTTGTGGATTTGTTGTTAAGGTTGTGGATTTGATTGTTAAGGTTACGGGTTGGTTGTTAAGGTTAAGGGTTTGTTGTTAAGGTTTGTGGATATTCGTTGTGTAGGTTACGGATTTATTGTTATCAGGTTACGGTTTAAATTGTTAAGGTGCTGGTTTAATTTGTTAAGGTTACGGTTTAATTGTTAGGGTACCTTATCTAAGATCCTCTTTGGTACATCAATGATAGATGGTATGACGAGAGAGAAATAATAAATAATCATCATCATATTTTAATAAAAAAAATAAGGAAGAGAGAAGGGTATTTATGGTCCTTCACATGTTTTAATTGTCTTGGGTTTTGTGTTTGGGGCTCATGAGACAAAATCTTCTTATTTTTTAGGGGTAAATCAGCCTATTGAGCAGATCACTTGGTGGGTGGAAACATCGTTCACTTTGGCTTTTTGGAGCTGGAAGCATTTTTCCCAAATACTTATAATGGCATGTTTGCGAGGAAGGGCAGGCAGGGCAGGGACGGGAAGGAAGGGAAAGAGAATTATGTTATTTATTTTTATTTGGGAGTTTTATTTAGAAGAATAGAGGAGAAGAAATAGGAAAAAAATTGAACTAAAATCTTAGCCTTCAAATTGGAGGGTAAAAAATAAAAGGAAATGAAGGAAATTTTTTGTCACGTCCCGCTTCCCAAAATACCAGAGAATAGGGACGCGAGTAAGCCCGCAACGTATTAGATTAAGGAGAATAAATAAAATTAAACAGTTCTCCTCAACCTAATACGCTAAGCGTCAATAAATAAATACAAAGGCACAGGTCCCCGATCACAGTAACGAGAATATAATGAACAACTCAGAATAAAAAGAGACATATTACAAATAGAATATCATCCAAGACACAAAGTTTGGGTCAATATGCCCTTATTACAAAACAGTCCAACTAAAATAAGAAAATACATAGTCCAACAAAATAAGAAGGAACAACTAAAATAAGAAAATACATAGTCCAACAAAATAAGAAGGAAGTACTGTAAAAATAACTAAGTCCCTCGAAAGACTAAAGGATAAGGTACTACATAAGTAATCTAGTGTCCATCAGTGATTACGTAAAAGAAAAGGCTAAGCTTCTGTCTGTTCTTTTGTTCCACCTGAAAGACACTCCGACTGGGAATACTCCTGCTCTAATGCATCATCATCCTGGACCTGTCCATCCTCTAAATCTGACGTATACCAGAGAAAATAGGTGTACGTCAGCGTGTATGGCACACGGCAAGATCCCACAAGGGAAGTAGAAACGGTCGAACGACCAATGCAAGAACAATAATAATAATAGTAATAATCTAAATAAAATCCACCACTAGAATATAATAATCAGAAGAATCCAAAATCGATCGGGTAACGAGGTCATGTAGCTAGCGATCAGACTAATCATCCAAGTAACGAGGTCATACTACTAGCCTTTGTATAACAGGTCACTGGTCACATCTCACACAGAGTCAACGCTCCTGTCATCGGATAACTGACTGTTCACAAATCCTCTACGTGCATCCAATCCCGCTACACATGCAGCCTAGAGGACTGCACGCAATCCGTTTCTGTCTGGTCCGAACTTCAAACAGAACTCGGGTGAAGAAATAAATTTCCCACTGACCAAAGTGATGTACACACTTCACTTTAGCCCTACAAACTAACCCCGATGGCGACACCAACCACGGGAGCGAGCCTGGAAGATACATCAACAGTCTTATCCGATCACATGAACCATGACTGTCCCATCCTAACTCTCTTATTTTTCTAAGTTATCATACACACAGGTTTCTAAGTTTTAAACCGGACACACCAGGCCACACTAGTCATGAATTTCTAACGGTTCTCAAACGTAACATAGAGTAATAAATGCAACTAATCATATACAACAAGATCATAACATATCACATAATTAAATTTAAGAAACATAAATCATAAAAAATTCATAATAATCCCTTTTCTAAAATAAATGTTTTAAAAATATTTATAAATGTTATAAAATAATTCCTTTTATAAAACTCTCTTAAATTATTGAAATTATTCTAAATTGATACTTATTCTAAAATAAATTCTTTTAAATTATTTATAATTATTCTAAAATAATTCTTTTGTCAAATAAATTCTATTAATTTATTATAATTACTCTAAAATGATTTTTCACCAAAATAGTAATTATTTTAAATTGATTATTTTGTTAATAAATTCTTCAAAATTATAATTTAATCTAAAATAATTTTATTTTATTTTATCTTTACAATATCTATTATCACAATATTATTTTTTATACTTTTTAATATCATTCGTCAAATAAATTCGTGCAGGTCATCGCAGTATATGCATTACAACGTGAAAGGTCATACGTTATTGTTCACAGTCCGTTACGTCCATGATAGTTCTATACATTATAGTTCTCAGTTCAATATGTTCACAACAGTTCTATATTTGTAACGAGTAATTATTCGAAAAACGAGTTCTTATGCATAATTAATCTGTGATCAATCTAAAATTGTACATGTACTGAGCAAAATGGGATCTTGCAAGTACTAAGTTAATTTAGAGCGGATGCTAAGAATTGAATGACAAATCAAGAGAGTATCGGGATCTTGCCTCCGATGACGCGGTGGGGGTCTGATGATGAGGCTACCGATGGCGCCGATGCGGGACGCGCGTTGTGCGATCGAGGTGACGTAACGCGATGGCGGTTCTGCAAGCTAGGTGCGTCGGCATACGATCGAACAGATGCGTGCGAATGGAGGAGACGGGCGAATGATTGCAGTGTTATTCGACAGGCGAGGCGAGGGCTGTCGGGTTTGGGATAGCAGCGATGAGGTAGGTCGGCATCGCTGTCGACGAGTGGTTGGCGACGGGGGAGGAGGAGCTCGGCGAGGGAGCTTGGAGGGGGCGCTGCAGGAGTGAGCGGTGGCTGCCAGGCGGGCGGGCGGTGCGGCTTACGCGACAATGAGGAGGGTTGTCGGTGGAGAGGGACTGGTCGGAGAGGAGATGGGCTGCCGGCTAGGCTTGGAGACGGCTGCGGGTCTGAGGTGTCAGGCGGCGGCTGGGTCGAAGGAGGCGGTCCGAACCGGACGTCGGGCAGCGGTGAAGGGCTGGTCGGAGATTTAGGGAGTTTGGGTTTGGGCGCTGTCAGAGGCGGAGGACAGGGTGGTGATGTCGCGGTCGAAGTAAAGGGTTCAGGTGAGGTTGGCGGCGCTTGCGAGCAGGTGTGAGGCCGACGGCGGAGAGGTGTGGCGGCGGCGTGGCTTACGGGCTGCGTGGTTCGACGGCTCATGGGAAGGGGAGGCGCGCGGGAGGAACTTGGGTTGACGGCGAGGGAGGAGGCTGGCGGTGGAGGGGCAGCGGCGGGGAGGCGGCCAAGGAAAGGGCTTGAGGAGAGAGAGACGC